AGGGCTTCGAGGTACAGTCTCAGTATCCCCACCTTTCTGAACCTTCCTTAGCTGCTCTACATTCCCAAACTTTAAAAAAGATGGAATAATAATGGATGGAGATTCTTCTTAACTTCCTCCCTTGGGGTTTGAAGGATGGAGAACCACCGAGGCTGCATGTTGCTGGAGAAACGATGGCATCATTCAAAGAGAGGCCATCTTGAAGCTCGGTCAAGGCAAGAGTTTCACTTGTCCTCCTACAGAAATGTTCCTCAAATGCTCTACTCCTTTGAAAGCAATTTCCAAAGCAAATTCTCTTTTCCGAACAAAATAATCCTCCTGTTAGGAAGAACAAAACAGCAACTGAATGGTTCTATGTGGCGCTAATTATAGCAGCTTTTATTGTCCCTCTTGTCTCATGGATGGGGAACCGTGGCCAACATTTATTACACCAATATATCTCACGCTCCCAAGGCAGAGGTTGCAGTCCAAAGCGAGCGTTGCTTTCTGAATCATCCAATCCCTACAAAGTAGGTTGCACGATAGGTTCAAAGCCGGCATGTTCTCCAACCCTAGATCTCAGCGGGGTGTTTGAACGGAAGGACCAGAAGTTCTTGTCCGTGGAGGTTGGGTTGGACCTCAATTGTCCCCCGCCGTTTCGTTTCCAGCTTCCAAAAGACAGCACGTTAACAGGGCAGTGTGGTTCCCCTGCTGGCACTTTGATGGCAGAATTTACGAGGACTCCAAAGAGTTTGCTGGAGAGAAGCGAATTAAAACGATCCTTCATTTGCAGAGTCCTTACGATTGGCAGGCCGGGCTGAAGTATCAAAGAATCCCAAGGGTGTCTCATCGCCCATGTTCCTCTTCCCCCCCCCACCCGCCACCAACACCCATTGCTGTCTACAAGCTTAGCAATTGCTCCACCCCCCCTCCCCAAAGTTTAGGACTGCCTTTTTCCTTCTAATCTGCTTGGAATTCAAGGGTGAAATCCAGCCGGTTCTGCAGAACCGGTAGCGGAAATTTTGAGCAGTTCGGAGAACCGGAAAATACCACCTCTGGCTGGCCCCAGAGTGGGGAGGGAATAGGGATTTTGCAGTATCCTTCCCCCAGGAGTGGGGAAGGGATGGGGATTTTGCAGTATCCTTCCCCTGGAGTGGAGAGGGAATGGAGATCTTGCAGTATCTTTCCCCTGGAATGGGGAAGGAATGGGGATTTTGCATATCCTTCCGCCTGGAGTGGGAATGGAGATTTTGCAGTATCCTTCCCCTGGAGTGGGGAGGGAATGGAGATTTTGCAGTATCCTTCCCCTGGAGTGGGGAGGGAATGGGGATTTTGCAGTATCCTTCCCCTGGAGTGGGGAGGGAATGGAGATTTTGCAGTATCCTTCCCCTGCCATGCCCACCAAGACATGCCACGCCCACCAAGCCAGGCCCACAGAACCGGTAGTTTAAAAAATTGGATTTCACCACTGTTGGAATTGGGAAATGATTATTATATAGGGAGAGATTTTTTTTAAAAAAAAAGAAAGTTCAGGGAACCGATTGAATTTATTTTATTATTTTATTTTACGATCTGAAGCAGCAATTAAGGAAAGAAGAGAGATAAATGGTTGGCAATCCTTTTGATGGATTTATCTGGGTTTCAGAGCAGAAGCGGAGAGATTTAGGCTAGGCTTTTTTGTGGGAAAGTCATTTGGGCCAAGAGGCTTATATAATTTGTCCCCAAACTGTCGAAGAGAACAGAACAGAATAACCAGAGTTGGAAGGGATCTTGGAGGTCTTCTAATCCAACCCCCTGCTTAGGCCAGGAAACCCTACATCACGTCTGTAGAAATGTTGCGTACTTACTAAGATTGCCCACTCTTTATGATTCTTGACAAATGCATCTTGTCTTTTTATGTACCCTGAGAGCATATGCACCAGAGACAAATTCCTTGTGTGTCCAATCACACTTGGCCAATAAAGAATTCTATTCTATTCTATTCTATTCTATTCTATTCTATTCTATTCTATCCTATTCTATTCTATTCTATTCTATTCAAATCCAATGAGTTAGGATGCTTAAATCCATTGACTGCCATTCTTCCACCCTTAAATTTCGCCGTTAGTTTCACCGTCGCTTGGCTTTTGGTGGCCGGTTAGTTGCTTTGATTAAAACCAGGGTCTGCCCTGTTTGAGAATTTCAGGCTCCCTGTTTCCTTTGCAGTTTGTACGTGCGTGTTACTAGTCCTCATGGCTTGTCGGAATGCATGCAAATCAAAGGCGATTACGGGATGGAGCAGACTTCATTAGAACTGGCCCCACTGCCTATTCATTCAGCAATCTATATCTATCGTGACTGTAAATATAGAATTTAAGAGGCTTTTAAAAGGGAGGGAATATTATGGCAAGGAGGAGAATCAGCAGCTGAGACATTAAGATTATACAGGTAGTCCTCGACTTACGACCAACAGGGGAAAAAATGCTTTACAACTTATACTTTCATGGATAAGGATCGCTCCAATCCCCAGAGTCACATGATCACAATTCAAATCGCTCTTGCAACCCGCTCGCAATTACAACGGGTTCGCAGTGCCCTATGATCACCATTTGCAACCTATTTATTATTTTTTTTGACCATTTCTGGCAAAATACAAGGTCCTTGGAGGACGCTGGACTCCCTTAACAACCGTGTAATTGGCTTAATGGCCACATGATTCGCTTTACGACTGCGGTACAAAAATGGTTGTAAAACCAGGATCTGCTCGCACGGGCAACTCGACTTACGACAGCACTGTTTTAGGACCGAAATTCTGGTCATAAATCAATCGTGATTAAAGAGGCGAGAAAGAGGATTGTTGGCTGTTTAGTGGGAAACGTGCAGCTGTGATTTGGGGATATGTTTTCCTATCATCAGCTTATCCTACGTTTTCTCTCTGGGCCTGGAAAAATAAGACGTGGGGACACGTGATCAAGGAGAGGAAACATGATTTAATTACGCAAGGGGCCTCAAATCTATTAACATCCCCGATTTGATTAACACGTCCTGTGATACGGATTCATCCAACAAGCCAAGTTATCCTGCCTTTATAACTTCCTCCTGTTTAGCCAGTCTCTTGAACCTTGCTTAATGCGGGCGGCAAACCCGATGCGGCACCGTGCTTATCTCACCCCGGCGAGCAACAAAACACAACACAACACAACCGTTAACAATCTATTTGCCCCACAAACAGGAGGAAATTAAAGCCCAGGGGCGGTAAAGGTTAGTTGTTAGGGCTTGATTATGAGAGCAAACAGCGCAGGAGAGGAATCGAGAGGCAGGACGGATCGAAAAGCAAGATAAGGAACCAGAAGGCAATAAATCAGGGACATGATATAACGTGGCCAGATGGCTTGAATCCTGGCACTGCCAACCAGTGGCAACAATGCCAAGGGCACTCTTGTGCTGCCGGGGGCATTCCCGACACATGGGTCACATGGGAACAGCGAGACACAAGGTAGTTTTTTTTTCCAGGACTTAGTAGATGAAATCCTAGGGTTGGAAGGGATTTTAGAGGTCTTCTAGTCCAACCCACAGCTCGAGCAAGAGACCTTATACCATTTCTGACAGACGGCTGTCCAGTCTCTTCCTCACTGGGCTGTTTCTTCTTTTCTTCCTGACCGATTTTAGATATTTTTTTTTCCTCCTTCCAGTAAAATAAATTGTTTGTTTTGTTTATTGCGCAACGAAGAGGCTGCCCAACTCCATCCCAACTCGGGGCGGCCTATAAAATTAATAAATGATTTCAATATCGGCCAACGGGGCCGTTGGCTCAGCAGACTGGAAGCATTGTGATTAACACCAGCTGTCTGCAATTACTGTAAGTTCGAATCTCTCCAAGGCTCAAGGTTGACTCAGCCTTCCATCCTTTCTAAGGTAGGTAAAATGAGGACCCGGTTTGTGGGGGCAATAAGCTGACTTTGTATAAATATACAAAAGAATGAAGGCTATTGCTTAACGCATTGTAAGCCGCCCTGAGTCTCCGGAGAAGGGCGGCATATAAATCAAATTAAAAACAAAAACAAAAATGGGCAAGCCTAGAATTGTGGCTAGTTGAGCTCATGCCTAGAAGGTTTGCTAGCAAGCATTAAGCCATCAGTTGAGCTCAGCTCTAGAAATGGCGGGAATCGGAACGGGGCCAACTCGCCACGGGACAATTCGACAAATACAAAAATTAAATTAAACTTCAATGGAACCGTGGCCAATAATAATAATAAAAGAAAGAAAGTCATTCCAGAAGTACGAGAGTCACAATCATTTCGATGAAAACGTGCTCACCAATAATAAAAGTAACTGAATGAAATGATTAATACAGCATTGAATTGCCATAGATCAAGTGTTTCAAACTCAAGGTCCAGGGGACAGATCCAACACCTGGGGTGCTTAGATCCTGTAGGGCCACCCTGCAAAAAGAGAAGGACGGCCCACGGTGCCTCTGCCAGCAAAAACACAGCTCTGGAGGGCCATGCGTGGCACTCCCAAGCTCCGTTTTCACTGGCAGAGGGTTGCAGGCAGGGGTGGGATTCTACCGGTTGAGGCCGGTTCGGGCGAACCAGTAGCTCTGACGATCAGCTGGGAGTGCACGATTACCGAACCAGTTATTAAACTGGCAGCATCCCACCACTGGTTACAGGAGGCCATCGCAGCCGAAAATGGAGCTCATGAGGCCCGTGACGGCCCTCCCGAGCTCTGTTTTCACTGACAGAGGGTTGCAGGAGGCCGTCGGAGCTGAAAACGGAGCTCGGGAGCCCGTTTTCGCTGGCAAAGCGCTCGCTCGGGCCTTCACCAGCACCCCCAACACGAGTGACATTGAGCTGCCCACGCCACACTGCCCTGCCCCCCTGAGGTCAAACACAACCCGATTGCGTCCCTCAATGAAATTGAGTTTGACACCCCTGTCTTATACCCTGAGGAATGGGATGCGTTTTATCCTCCCCCTGGTGCAGAACCACCTGAGCATGTCTCTCTCTCTCTCTTTGCTTGGGTTCTTCCCTCTCCCGCAGGTTGTTTGCTGCCAAATGCAGTGGGTGCATGGAAAAAATTGCCCCCACGGAGTTCGTCATGCGGGCGCTGGAGTGCGTCTACCACTTGAGCTGCTTTTGTTGCTGCGTCTGCGAGCGGCAACTGAGAAAAGGGGACGAGTTCGTCTTGAAGGAAGGCCAGCTCCTTTGTAAAAGCGACTACGAGAAGGAGAAGGACCTGCTCAGCTCCGTCAGTCCAGATGACTCCGATTCAGGTGAGGGTCCCTTCTGAAATGGACCACCCTTGCTTGGTGGGGCTTCCAAAATGTATCTGGTTGGGCACTACGTAGTGAGGCAGAATGCTGGACCTTTGTCTAAATCCGAGTTCTTCTCATTAACCTTTCTAATAATCAAAGTTTTCAGTAGAACGTAGAACATTGGGTTGGAAGGGATCTTGGAGTCTTTCTCGTCCAAGCTTCTGCCCATGGCAGGAGATCTTCTACCATTCCGGACTTCCTTTGAGGTTTTTTTTTATTATTATTATTAAAAGTTTTTTATTTTTTAAACAAACAAACATTTAATACATCAGTCATTCCTTCCGTGTGACATCTCGGTGTTGTCTCCAATCGTTCTTCTTTTTGTTATTTCTTCTGTCTTCACTCTCATCCAATCAATTACAAAAATTCCTCACTAACAAAATATTCTGATTATAGCATTTTTATACATAACTATTAATTTACCTAGTTGTATCTCTTTTCTAACCAGTAGCAGAATTGATTCCATCTCTTAAAGTATTCTGAATTTTCTCTTTCTTTAATCATCACAGTCAATCTATTCATTTCTGCACAATCTAATTTTTTTTTTAATTACTTCTCCTTCCAAAGGTATTTTCTCTGCTTTCCAATGTTGTGCATAAACAATCCTTGCAGCTGTTATTACATGTCTAATCAAATAAATATTTTCTTTGCTAATTTTTTCTGGACTTCCTTTGAGTTTGATGGGATGGAGACACGTGATCCTAGAAAGAATAACAGAACAGAATAATAGAGTTGGAAGGGAGGACTCTGGAAGTCCTCCAGTCCAATCCTCCATCTGTAGCTCAGGGTACAACTGTGAACTCCACTGTACAAAGAGTATTTGATCAATCTTTACTCAGTAGAGTGGAAAAATTGACGTGCATCCTTACCATAGGATTAATAGCTATTTCCGCTCCCCCCCCTTTTTTTTTGCACCGGTCTAATTTTTTTAAAAAAACAGAAGGGGTAAATCCAGCCACTCTGGATTTTATAAACCTGGCCCAACGTGAGGTGTAAACTAGAAGATGTCATTTAACCAAGCAAAGCATAGCTTCACATACCGTGTGTGACTCCGGCCTCTTAGCTCTACCATATTTTGCACGATATTTCAACAGTGAAAAGTGACGATGAAGACGGGGACATCAAACCGGCTAAAGGGCAAATCACCCCCGGGAAGGGGGGTGATGACGGAAAAGATCCGAGGAGACCTAAGAGGCCACGGACGATCCTCACAACCCAGCAGAGAAGAGCGTTCAAAGCCTCCTTTGAAGTATCTTCCAAACCTTGTAGGAAGGTAAGTTTCTCCTTCATCACCCCAACCTTTGCTATTAATCCTTGGTATAGTTACTCGTTGCGCACAGAAGATTCTTCACTCCATCCCAGGCACGATTTGGGTAACTTAGACTTATTGCTTACGGGTCCGGCTTGATTTGTCTCCTCTCCTCGTCATGCAATTGCCGTGTCTTCTATTATCCTTCAGCAGGGTGGTAAAAACTGACGTGCGTCCTATTGTAGCTGATAGCTATTTCCTTTGAATTTGTGGATCTCGAGATATCCAGTTTGTTAGTGGAAGATCAAAGTATAATCCCCAGAGATGCTATTGGCAAACCGGTAACGGGTTTTTGAGGCTTGGCGCATGCATGGAAGGCATGCGTGCACGCAAAGCGAGTGTGCATGTGAAGCAAGCATGCATGCACGCCGTGAACTGCTGGTAAGAATTTGTGAAACCCACCGATGATAATCCCCTATCTCACCAAAGAAAGGAGGACATCTCCAGCTGGGTTCTTCTGGAGTGCTTAAAAGACTGAAACCCGGCATTGGATAGGACTATAAAAAATGGAAATCGGACCAATAGAAGTCTCGACTGATCCATTGGAATCCATTGATCTGGAATTGGCAGGATTAAAACCCAGATTAGTGGTCCGCAGGATTTAAAATTATGAATTTAGTGTTCCCCGAGGTCCGAAAGGTTGGGGACCCCTGTTTTGGAGGATGGATCGACTTGTTCTCCAAAACACCTGAAGGCAGGATAAAAGAAGTAAAGGATGGAAGCTGATCAAGGAGATGTTTCTGAAATTTGCCAACTGGCTCCTGAGAGAAATGGGGAAGGCGCTCCATTTTAACTAGGTTAGGACATGGGGTGGTCCCTCCCTCTTAGGGTGATGTGATAGCAGTCCTCCAATATCTCTGTGGTGGCCCCTTAGATATTTCAGGACAATCTCAACTTCTACACTCCCTGAGTAGAGTGGAATAGTGTTGCACAACCCACTAGCTCACTCAAATCGGTGTAGTAATGTTGTAATGCTTACTTCCCTACAACAAGCACAGTCAAGTCTCAACATTTGTATCTACATGAGGAGGCAGAAGAAGCTTGGTATTAGCAAAACTTAAGCCAAGGTTTCTGGTTCAGAACTTTGCAAACACACCGAAGAATAAAATCAATCTTGTAGCTTTTGAAGGTCTCAGTTGCAGATACCTTTTACATAGGTACTCTTTGACTTACCAACAGTTCTTTTAGTGATTGTTACAACGGCCCTGAAAAAGTGACTTAAGACCAGGGGTGAAATCTATTTATCTTCCTTACCGGTTTGGAAGTGCATGCGCAAAACCTTCTGTGCATGTGCAGAAGGTAAAAAAACACATTTTAACCAGGAAGTAACAACACCCGGGTGGGTGGGCGCAGCTTTACTCTGCCATCTCTATTGGATCGCCGAATCCACCATGATGATCACTACCGGATTGCCTGATCCAGTCTGAACTAGGAGCATTTCACCCCTGCTTAAGACCGCATTTCACACTTATGACTGTTGCAGCATCCCTGCAGACCTGTGCTCAAAATTCAGACACGTGACAACTGACCCATACTTATGACGGTTGCAGTGTCTCGGGGTCACACGATCTCTTTTTGCAAATGGGGCAAAACTCGCTGAACAGCTATTTCACGTAGCAACGGAAATATTGGGCTCCGTCGTGTTCGTAAGGCGAGGACTGCCTGGGCTCTGGGAAATTACGGGTTATGTAGGAGCTTGCCGCAACACTTGGGGTTGATTCTTTTCACGCCGTTATAATTTCTTGGAAACCGGGACCAAACGTTGCTAGATGGATTAAATGGAAGGTTTTTGGAGGATCGTGGCAAGCTCGGTTTTCTGTATCTGGTCTTTCTTGCAGGTAAGGGAGACTCTGGCGGCTGAAACCGGCCTCAGCGTTCGAGTAGTCCAAGTCTGGTTTCAGAATCAAAGAGCAAAGGTAAGGCCACTCAAGCAATGGCGCATCAACAGAGCAGGGGTGGGTTCTACTTACCTTTACTACCGGTTTGCAATGGGAGCGCGCACGCTTCTGCGCATGCGCAGATCAACCATTATGACGTCCAGGTGGGTGGGCGGAGCCTCCCATCAGTTTTACTACCAGTTCGCAAGAACCAGACCGAACCGGGAGCAACCCACCACTGAAACAGAGGAAGAAGAACCAGAGGAAAACAGGCTGATTTTGACTCTCTTTCCTTTCGCAGATGAAAAAACTGGCGCGACGGCATCAGCAGCAGCAGGAGCAGCAAAACTCACAGCGGCTCGGCCAAGGTAAAGCCATCCCTGCAACCGGCTTGGAAAGTTTAGGATTGGTCATTTATTGATAAAAGAGAATATCTGTACCTCCGGGTTGAACCGTGGGGTCCTTGGTTGCTCTCTGAGCCTGGTGGTTTTCTTGCAGACGTTTCACGACCCAACTAGGGAACATGATCAGCGCTAGAAGGGAATGGAAATGTGGAGTTGAGGGGGTTTGTGGAGAGGAGGAGGATTGCTTCCTTGTAGACGTTTCATGACCCCACCAGATAACATCATCAGTGCTAGTAGGGAGTGCAGAGTTTGCTCCTCATAGCTTGCCCTGCAGCCGGCAACCAATACAGGGATGGGTTCCACTTACCTTTACTACCAGTTCGCAACAGGAGCACGCATGTGCAGATCGTCAGAGATGACGTCAGAGGAGGTAGGCGAAGCCTCCCATCGCCATTACTACCAGTTCGCAAGAACCGGACCGAACCGGGAGCAATCCACCACTAAACCAATACCCTGATAAGCAGCTCTTCCTCCTGTCTCCCAAGGTTGTTCTCACATCCCATTACAGAAAGTTAACCTATTATAGGGTTCCGTGCATTTTCCGTTTCAAAATAATAGGAAGCGGTTGTATTAAATTCGGCAGCGTGGTTGGGGAAATATAAGACACCCCTGCAAGGAGGAGCGGGGGGAATGGATATCAGGGCTGCTAACGTCCAACGGTTGCCAGTTGTTTGAGAAGCAGCGTAATTGTCCCCCATTCTGTACATTCCACCAGAATGAACCTTGGGCTTGGATTCCCAAAGGGAAGGTAGCTAGTTTTCTGAGACTATATGCCTTGGCACATTTTCAGCTCTTGCACCCTGATAATAATTGGCATTCAGTTCATCCTTGTCTGCTTTGGGCCGTGCTGGCACCATCAGGCGCCAGTCAGGCAAGGCTGGCAAAGTGCCACAGCAGAGACTGGACAAACCCAGGGCCTCTGGCCCTACCCAGGCTTGCAAAATCCTTCGAGTGAGGACGCAACGCGCCAACCCCTTGCATATGGATGAGAGACGCAGCTCACCTCGTCAGACAGGCATTGCTCAACGTCAGAGGGAGTCGGCTGGTGCCAGGCCTCCTGGGAGTGGAGTCTTGAAAGAACGATCGGCAACTTCTCTTTCCATCCTAGCAGAAATGAATCACTGCGTTCAAATCGGAATGGGGCTGAAAGAGATTTGGGGGGGTGAGTGGGGGAAGGGGAAAGCTAGGAAAGATTCTCCGCAGGATCAAATCAAATCCAGATTCTAGAACTCAGCGCTTTGCTGAAGTTAAGGAATGGGGTAACTTTGCACAGAGGACTTCCTTTCTAAAGAGAAATGGCTTTCGCTATCTTCACAGGAATGGAGCGGGCCGCCTTGTCCTAGTGACAAGTGGTCCAAGAACATTGGACATTATTTAGTGACAAATGGTCCCTGCACAAGCATTGTGTTCATTGTGCAATCCTTGGTGGTCTCCGAGCTGGGTTGTTTTCTTGCAAACGTTTCATGACCCAACTAGGTAATATCATCAGTGCTGCAAGGGAGTGGGGTTTGCTCTTTGTTTATACACAGTAGTTTGTGCTGCCAGTGTTGATGAAGGTGTGATTTTTCTCCTTGGTAGTTCCTTGATCAGAGTATTGTTTTCTGCTTGATTTGTTTGTGTGGTGTTAATCCCTGTTTATCTGGTTATTGGTTGATGAGCGCTGGTTTCAAGGCAAGCTACTGAATATAAACTGGGAGCTAACCCCACACTCCTTCACACTGATGATGTTCCCTAGTTGACTAGTGAAATGTCTGCAAGAAAACAACCAAGCTCAGAGACCACCAAGGACCCTATAGAGCCCCCTCTCCTCCTCCTTCTCCACCACCACTCTGCAGACTCCACTCTCTTTTAGCATTGATGATGTTCCCTAGTTGGGTCATGAAATATCTACAAGAAAACAACCAAGCTCAGAGACCACCAAAGACCCCACAGCTCCTCCTCCTCCTCTCTGCAGACCCCACTCTCTTCTAGCACTATTGATGTTCCCTAGTTGGGTCATGAAACATCTGCAAGAAAGAAACTGAGTTTCATGTTTAATGAACAAGGAATAATAATAATAATAATAATAATAATAATAATAATAATAATAATAAAAAACATGTAACAGTGATACTCATTGTCATCGGGGCACTAGGTATCATGTCCAAGAATTTTATAAGATACATCAGCAAATTGCAGCTTCCTGCAATAACATCAGCGGAACTGCAAAAAACTGCACTACTCAGAACATGGTACATCTTAAGAAGGTACTTGGTTGATACCTAGGATGCTGGCAGCAACCTGTATCAACCATTAGCACCAGTCAGTGATATTTGTGATGCATTTTTTGAATGTTCAGTTGACTGAGTTTCATATTTAATGAATAAAGATAATAATAACAATATAACAATATAACAATATAACAATAATAATAACATCATTGGCATTGACAAAATTTCTATCAGTCAATTGCAAAAGCTGTTTATTCATCCTGTGCTAGCACCTTTAACACATCCACATCTGCCTATCGTAGGGCCTTGAGAAGGACTCAATAGAAGGAATAAAAATGCCAAATCCAGTCTAAACATCTGGCTGGCTTCTCAACCAACAATAATAACCACCGGCATTGACACAATCCCCATCAGTCAATTGCAAAAGGCCACTTTACTAAGAACAGCTCACATCCTGACACAGTACTTTTTTTTAACCCCATGAAATCACCACATCTGCCTATCCCAGTTCCTTGGAAAGAACTTTTGATAGCTGGATGAAAATGCCAGACCCAATCTGAACATCTGGCTGATGACCAATCACAATAAAGACTTCTTGGTAGGTTGACTGCGAGCCAAGCCTTACTTGGAGTTGTTTTTGTTTCATCTTGCAGAAGTAATGTCCAACCGGATGGAAGGGATAATGACGTCTTACACACCCCTTGCACCACCGCAACAACAGATTGTAGCAATGGACCAGAGCACCTACGCCACTGATCCTTTCCAGCAAGGTCTCACCCCACCACAAATGCCAGGTGACCACATGAATCCTTATGGTAAGACTCCCTGGGAATCAGCTGCCATTGTCATGTGCAAGTAAGACCTTCAGAACATCTGTGGAAACACTGAGGTCTCCTGTTAACATCTGGAAGGGCGCAGAAGCGTCCAGAGAACCAGTAGAGTGCAATGGTTAAGGATGGGCTCAGGAAACACTTGCTTGTCCATTCTTGGCCTGTGAAACTCACTGGCTGATTTTAGACAGGTTGCTTTCTCTCAGCCCAAACAGCTTTGCAAGGAGGGCAGTCTAAGTTGCTTTTATCTCCTAAAGCAAAGCAGGAGAGAAATCTAAATTCAGATATCCTATCGATTAGAGTCTTCTTTTTTTCTTCTTGCTTGTTTGCGTCGAGGTGGATTTGACAAAGCAGAGCTCCTAGGAAGGGACCGATCAAACTCATCCTATTTCTGTGTTCATCAGTGACTTCATTTTAATCCCACCCGTTGTCCCCCCCCCCCAAAGGATCCAAACACACATTAGAGTAGTCCATGATAGTGAAGAGCATTATAGGATTTGAAAGCTTCTTCTGTTCTTCCTTCCTTCCCTCCGCTTGTTCCTCCAGACCTCCACACCCCATTGGCAAATGTGGGGATTAAATCAGCTGCTTTCTCATTTCCTGGAGCAGCAGATAGCTGTCAGAGATGTCGAGCCCTGCCATCGCCTTCAGGGCAAATGGCATTTCCTAAGGCTGTTTTTCCTTGGATTGCCATCATCCTCAACTCTCATGCCAAGGGAGAAGAGAAGAGGAGACGTAAATAAATGAATCAGTGGAGCCCAAAGGGCGTGGGGAAGAGTTGCTTCTCCGCTTTGGGCTACTGATGGCAACTGTTGACCTCTTGAAGTGCTCTCTTGCATTTGTGCAGCATTACAGGTTGACCTTGGTCTATCAGATCTCAGATGGGTTCCATAGCTGATCAATTCTGAAAATGCTGGTTTTGTTTTGTTTTGAGCTTAAAACATCTATTGCAGGAATAGGGTATGTCTAGAGAAAAGAAGGACCAGGGGTGACATGATAGCAGTCTTCCAATATTTGAGGGGCTTCCCCAAAGAAGAGGGGCGGGTCAACCTATTCTCCAAAGCACCTGAAGGCAGGACGAGAAGCAACGGATGGAAACTCATCAACGAGAGAAGCAACCTAGAACTAAGGAGAAACTTCCTGACAGTGAGAACAACTAACCAGTGGAATTCCTTGCCTGCGGAAGTTGTGGGTTCTCCATCACGGAAGGTTTTCCAGAAGAGATTGGACAACCGTTTGTCGGAAATGGTATAGGGTCTCCTGCTCGAGCAGAGGGTTGGACTAGAAGACCTCCAAAGTCCCTTCCAACTCTTCTTATTCTATCTATCTCTGCATCTATTATGAAGCCAGGGTATAAAAGAGCCATAAAGAGTTAAGCCACCGCATTATTCTAGTTATGCGCTTCTTATTTTAAGGAGGCCTGGAATTGGAGAAAGTAGAGGAGTGGGGGGACCAGTCTTGTCTTTTCACAACCACATCAGTGAGAAGGCTGCATCAGATGTGGTTTGGCAGAAAGCTGCTTTACCCTCGTGCATCTAGAGCTTTTTAGCATGCAAATTGATAACAGCTCTTATCGCGCTCACAACAACAGTATGTTGGAAGGGGGGGAATGTCTAGATTCCCAAACCGGGGGTGCCAGATGGGTGGCATGGAAATTGAAAAAGACACCCCTGTTCATCTCTGTGGCTGGGCAAGGACCTGCTACTCATATTTCTCCGTTCGCGCATCCAGTCGTGTCTCGGATGAGATCCTGCTGCGTGCCTGCTTTGAAGAATTCAGAATAATTCAGTCGGGCTTTGTCTATCAAGCCTTAATGTCCCTGGAGCGAATCAAAGGGTTAAGTCCTTTTCCTGAGCAGGATGGTCTTTGGACAGTGGTGGGATTCAAGTAATTTAACAACCAGTTCTCTGCCCTAATGATTTCTTCCAACAACCAGTTTGCCAAACTGCTCAGAAAGTTAACAACCGGTTCTCCCGAACCGGCTGAATCCCACCACTGTCTTTGGAGTCCTACAAGTTCTGGAACATGCAGGTCTTATTGTCCATTTTAATGTCAACTGACCTCACGGCGTCCTCCCCATCTCCAAAGAGCTTCCACGTTTTGTAGCCGCTCAACCACGGGAATCTTTCTAGATTCTCTTCGGATAAAAGATGAGGTTCCAGAAGAAGAAGCAAAAAGACGAGAAGACTATATGATGTAGACCTAAGAATTGCACAGTCAGGGAGCAAGGTTTCTTCCACAGTTTTGCAACAGTTTCCGTGGGCCCCGTTGCAACAGCGTTATCTAGGGATCTAGTCCTCATGATTTATAGCTTTACATCAGACTTCTAGGCAGTGTTTTCTAAGAATGGAAAAAAACTTCCTTGCCACCTCAAACTCTGGCATGATGTTTGCCGCCCTATGATTTCACCATGCGGGACCAATGAGTTTGTGGAGCAGGTTACAAACAGGGGCGGACACACACGAGGAAAAGGCCGCGGTAAGGAGAAGGGGGAAAAAACCAAAACAATCCCAAGGACTCATCCTTCAGCATGAAGCTCGGAAGTTCTGGGAGCTTCATCATTGGAGGCTTTCAAGAAAAGATTGGACTGCCATTTTGTCAGAAACGGTGTAGGGTTTCCTGCTTGAGCGGGGGGGTTGGACTAGATGACTTACAAGGTCCCTTCCAACTCTGTTAATCTAATCTAAAGCTCTCGTAGCAAACCTAAAGGAGAAAAATAAGGATGGGAGACGGGATCTGAAAGAAAGAACAGGTGGTAGAGTTCTAACGATTGCAAAGGGCGCAGGTGGGGAATAGCGCTACAAAATCCCGTGTGGATTTGCTGACGTCCATTTCCACCCCGTTGCAGTTCACTCCATCCGCTTCTTTCAATCATGCACCTTTACCTGACTGCGGCTAGGGTTGATGGGACTTGTAGTCCACCACATTCGGTGGATGCTGTGTCTCAGGGGGCGGAGAGACATCAAACCAGGATGTCTTTGGGAAAGATCCTTGGCTGTTTTCAAAGTCATCTTCTTGGTGATCAGCAGAACAGCGCTTCTGGCATTCTAGCCAAGTTTGTGTCGGGGGAAGGGGTGAAAAATGGAGGGGGGGCTCTTTCTTTCCCCCCCACCCCCACCCCCAATACTGGGTTTCTCCTCTTCCCTCTTGCAACCCCTCTCCGTCTTTCTTCCAGGGGCAACTTTTATTGGCACTGACAAGGTTTGATTCTGACATTCCTCAAAGCCACAGTTTCCTCTGATGGAATGCAGGATCTTTTGTCTTTTGCCAGCCTGCTTGCCACAGATTATTTGCTTGTGTCAGATTAAAAAGGATCTATCCTGGTCTTTCTCTCTCTTTCTTCATGTTTCTCTCTCTTTCTCTCTCTCTCTCTCTCTTTTTTTTTTCTCCCTGTTTCTCTCTCTTTTTCTCTCTCTTCTTGTCTCTTTTCCTCTCTTTCTCTCTCTTCTTCTCTCTTTCTTTATCGGTCTCTCTTTCTCTCCCTCTTTCTGTCTCTTTTCGTCACTTTCTCTCTCTTTTTCTCTTTCTTTCTCTCTCTCTCTCTTTCTCTCTCTTTCTCTCTGTCTCTTTCTCTCTCTCCCTCTTTCTGTCTTTTCTTCTCTTTCTCTCTCCCTCTCTTTCTCTCTTTCTCTCTCCCTGTTTCTCTTTCTCCCTGTTTCTCTCTCTTTCTCCCTGTTTCTCTTTCTCTCTCTCTCTTTCTCTCTTTTTTCTCTTTCTCTCTTTTTCTTTCTCTTTTTCTTTCTCTCTCTCTCTTTCTCTCTCTCTCCATCTCTTTCTCTCCCCCTTTCTCCCTGTTTCTCTCTCTCTCCCTCTTTCTCTTTCTCTCCTTTTCTCTCTCTCTCTCCCTCTTTCTGTCTTTCCCTCTCTTTCTCTCTCCCTCCCTCTCTCTCTCTTTCTCCTGGTTTCTCTCTTTCTCTCTCTTTCTCTTTCTCTTTCCTTCTCTCTCTCTCTTCAAACGCTTTTGAAATGTTATAGACTGCAAAGCAAACAATTTACTGGCAGAGAGCCCAACCATTTCTTACATCCTGCCCAATGATGCTATCATAGTACCATTAAAATCTCCAGCAAAGAGCCAGGCCTGCTTTTTCTCTTCATCTGATTCTTCAAGTGCAAATTATTCTGATTTTTTTTTCAGCAGAGAAAATCAACACAGCTGAAGAAAAAGCACAGCCTTCCAAAAGATTATGACAGCTCACAATGCACCCAGGGCATCTGAGTAGTATTATTGTTATTGTTGTCCTTATTATTCCCAGAAACCAAGCACCCTGGAGATTTAAGATAGACTTTTTTAAAAAAAATTCTCCAATGCTTTAAGTTTGCTATTTGTGGTCGTTCTTTGGAACAGAAGTATATCCAGATGTGGGAATCATGTACAGAAATTTCTCCTGGGTCCACAAATCTTACATTGCAGCTAGTAAAGGCCTTAACCAAAATTGGCTACGTCAATCCAGGTTTGCAGTGATGCAAAAATTGAAGCAGGAGTATTTCCAGCTCCCCAGATATTACTAGATTTCTGATGTTACCAAAAATCCTATGAATTGAGTTTGCCTAGAGTATGCCATTTGCCACGTTCACTGAAGATACAAGTTCAGAGATGGAGGAAGAGAAGAAGTAAAGTTAGAACAACGGGAAGAATTGGTCTCGTTAACTTTCTCCCAGATGTAATAGAATGTCCGTGTTGGAAGGGACCTTGGAGGACTTCTAGTCCATCCCTTGCTCAAGCAGGAGATACTATACCATTTCAGACAAACACTTGTCCAATCTCTTCTTAAAAACCTCCAGTGATGGAGCACCATAACTTCTGGAGGCAAGCTATTCTATTGATTGATTGCTCCCGCTGTTGGGAAATTTCTCCTTAGTCCAAGGTTGGTTCTCTCCTTGATTAGTTTCCACCTATTGCTTCTTGTTCTGCTTTCAGGTGCTTTGGAGAATAGGTTGTCCCTGTCTTCTTGTGGTAGCCCCTCAAGCATTGGAACGCTGCTATCCTTTCAACCTGGAAAAGCCTTAAAAAAACCCCGGTACCTCCAACATAAATGGGGGTCTCTAATCCTTCTTTTCCTTAAACAGGACACCTCCCTGTCCGTCTGAGAAAATGAGACTACGATTTGTATTCTTGACAGCTTGTTTCCCCGCAAGCAATCAGGATGAATGTTCCACATTACAAAAGGATTGTCATGAGCTGTCCTTCAAGGCCAACATTTGTTGGGCGGGCAAAATCCCAAGCTTCCGTGATGGGCATCTTTCAACCTTCTAAAAACAAACCGTGTCGTGATACATCTCTATTGTATGGGGAGGGTTTAAAGCTGATGGAAACGGGTGTGCTGGGAACATTTTGGTGACGGGAATTCCATGCATGGGTGAAACCATATGTGGATCATATCTTATGGAGATTCTCAGTCCTCCAGATCATGGTTGTCCCAAAACTGCTTTTTCTTTTTTTTTGCAAGGGCAACTGGACTTCATTTTTTTCCTTGAAGACATTTCGCTTCTCCTCCAAGAAGCTTCTTCAGAACTTCTTGGGTGAAGTTCTGAAAAACGTCACTCAAGAAAAAACAAAGTCCAGTTGCTTCTGGAAAAAAAAAATCAGCTTTGGAACATACTCGATGTTAGGGTTCCAAATAACACCCCCAATGAAAGAAAGAAAACCCCGAGGCTCGAATTTCCTCAAAGTTACATTTTATTAGAGACAATAAATAATAATTCATCCTTAATCATCTTCTCAGAAGATTAAAGCACTCTGTGTCAGTCAACCCAGTCTACTAACATGTCTATATTCTGTGTTTTGTTTTTGTTCCCTCTCTCCATCAACCCATCAGGAAACGACTCCATTTTTCACGACATCGACAGCGACACTTCTCTAACGAGCTTGAGTGACTGTTTCTTGGCTTCCTCGGAAGTAAACTCCATGCAAGCCAGGATAGGAAACCCCATTGATAGGCTGTATTCAATGCAGAGTTCCTACTTTGCCTCATGAAAAGCACCTGGCGGGGGAACCAGCCCAGCTCTTCGGAACTTCTCTCCTGAACCGATGTCGCGAGGAACCCCGTTTTCCAGCTGAAAACAAAAGAAAAACAAAAACAAAAAAACAAAAAACCTCATACAGCCATATTTTTCTTCGTTTCCTCCACCCTGGTATATGGTCACCTGGGACGACAGGAGCATTGAATTAAGGAGGCCTCTGGCCCCGAGAAACAGATAGGCAAGGAATCACAGGAATCTGGTCCTGAGAAACAGATAGGGAAGGACCACGCGTCGCTCTCAAAAAAAGAGGTGGGACCGAGGAACACCGATGCTCCTGTGGTTAGTTTCTTCTCGGAACCCCATCATTTTGGAGGCAAACCCTTCCCATTTTGCATTGCTTTGGAGAATTTCTTTCGACAGCGCGGTGTTTTCTCCAGGCTACCACTCACCCACCCCCGATGCAAAGTTGGTCCAAGCTGAAGAAAGAAATTGGAGGGGAATTGGTCCCAATTTTGTTCTGCATGTTTCATCTCCTGCCACAGACTGAAAACCCTCAGGGCCGCGAGACGTTTGTGACAGAGCTATGATTCCTCTGGGGACATTCCTATTTCCCCTCGGCCGCCTCTTTTTCTTTCTTTTCCTCTCCATCGAACCAAACGGGAACCTCCAAAAAAAAACCAGTCATCTCTGGGGCCATTAAGTTATCGTCACTGCACTGCCTGGAAATGTGGGGGAGCGGGGAGGAGAGTGGGAATGGAAAGTGGGGGGAACCCAGAAAATAATAAGAGGAATGCAAGGAGAAATCGGGCCACTTCGTCATCATTATGACATTTCTTGGAGAGGAAGAGAAAGAGTCCAAAAAAAAAAAAAAGATGCTGAACACGGGGAGGCAAACTTAGATGAGCTGTAATTACACCTTTACCTGAAAAAAAGCAATTTTATAATAGGTAGGGCCAGAGATATTCTGGAACACCTGATTTTATTTCAGGTTGTTCGCCATTCTGGGTGTGTTAAAACTTTTTTTTTTAAAAAAAAATAATGGTGAAGGAATTCAGTGCCAAATTTCACGTCTCCACCTAACCCCTAGCTCTTTTAGGCTTTGATTGACAGTCATCTGTTGGTGATTCCCATTTGTTTATACCGATTTGACAGCCCTACCCCACAGATCCTTTTGCTTCGGGACACGTTAATTAGAGCTGATTTTGGTTTGGGTCTTTTTCCCTCCACGGGGTTGGAAGGACCTCCCCCCTTTCCTCCCCCGCCCCCACTTATCCATCATGTAATTTCAAAAGACAAGCAGTGATGGCATTTTGTGTAGCTTTATTCATGGTGAGCACTTATTCCCAAGCAGCTCCGTTATTCCCCATGCCCGTGGACCAGTTGCTGGTAGAAATTAAACCTTGGCAGATGCGAAGATGGGAAACACGTTTTACGATGCTTACCGCTAAGAGTGCCACGGAAATTCCACGTTTGGTGACTAGTTAGATCAGAGGGTAAGCTAACATGGGGCCATTGAGAAGTATGTTGGGGTCCTGCTCCGACAAGGGGATGGATCTAAGGCTGTGGTTTGATTTTATTTAAATCATTTCTTGTTGTTAGTTGCGAAGTGGTGTCCGACCCATCGCGACCCCATGGACAACGTTCCTCCAGGCCTTCCTGTCCTCTACCATCCACTGGAGTCCATTGAAGCTCACGCCGACTGCTTCAGTGACTCCATCCAGCCACCTCGTTCTCTGCCGTCCCCTTCTTCTTTTGCCCTCCATCTTTCCCAGTATTAGGCTCTTCCCCAGCGAGTCCTTCCTTCTCATTAGGTGGCCAAAGCATTTGAGTTATTTAAATCCTATTTAAAGAAAAAAAAAAACAAGTTAGTGAATTAAATATCATGGCTACCCACGTATTTTGCATTTCACGACTTCTGCCATGTTTAAATTTCAATGGGCAAAGTCTTGAGTAGAAGGTCAACATCTTCCAGACCATTCTTGGTCCACCAGTTTTCCATCGCTGCACTGTCCTTTCTTCCCGAAACTGAGTTCCAGATGTTTTGGTTTACCTATCCCATCGACCTCAGGTAGTTTAGCCCAAGCTCCCACCAGGTGTGATTGCCCTCAAATTTCATGGTTGATTTTTTATTATATTTTTCATTATTCATTTTTTGGGGAAACATAAACTGGAGACAACGCTTGACCTCATGTCCTGCTGATGGACTTCTAGAAGTATCTCTTCAGCTACCCTGGGAATGTATGGGATCCTCCAACCATTTTTAAAAAAAATTGATTTATATGCCGCCCTTCTCCGGAGACTCAGGGCGGCTTACAATGCGCTAAGCAATAGCTTTCATCCTTTTGTATATTTATACAAAGTCAGCTTATTGCCCCCACAAACTGGGTCCTCATTTCACCTACCTTAGAAAGGATGGAAGGCTGAGTCAACCTTGAGCCTGGCGAGATTCAAACCTGCAGTAATTGCAGGCAGCTGGTCTCAATAACAGGGTGGTTTAGACCACTGTACTATCAAGGCTCTCACCATTGTTGAGTGCTGTATTCCAGAAAACTTAATGGTATCCAGATCTGAGAAAGGCTGAGTTAGGGGAAAACTGAGTTTCGTTGCTGAAATTTCATAGCCATTGCTGAACATTTTGGGAATCAAGATCCCAAAATCTCAAAGTTGGGGGGGGAAACTGAGTTAGAGACTTATTTTGAGTATTTGCTGGCAAGTCCAGTGCTCAAGTTAGAGTAGATCTATATAAGCCATGATCCTCTTGCTGCCTGTTTCTTTTTTTAGGGTCATGTTAGATTGATGATAGCCACACGTTTTTGAAAGCAGAAGAATTCCAGGAATAAGATTTACAGGTAGTTCTTGACTTAATAACCCCCTTTTTTCTAATGACCATTTAAAGTTATAACACTGCTGGGGAAAGTCTCTTACAACTTGTGACTTGCACTTACGACCGTCCCAGGATCCCAACAGTCACACGAGCAAAATGTGGGCGCTGGCAACTGGCATGTATTTATGACTGTTGCAATGTCACGTGATTGTCGTTTGCGACTTTCCTAGGCAGCTTCCAAAAAGCAACGTCAGTGTGGGGAAGCCGGATTAGCTGAACAATCACGCAATTTGTTTAATGGCCACGACAAAATAGATGGTAAAATTGGGCGGGACCCACCTTATCAGCCACCTCACTTAACAATAAGTTCCTGTCCCAATTTTGGTCCGGAGTTAAGTTCCTTTAGGTCTTTTCAATATTTATTCCTCAAAATTTGAGGGCTAAGCATAAAACAATTTCGGGTAGAAGAACCCAGTTGCCCCTTCTAGATTCCAGCTTCTATTAGATCTGATAGGATCAGGGGTGAAATCCAGCAGGTTCTGACAGGTTCTGGAGAACCGGTAGCGGAAATTTTGAGTAGTTTGGAGAACCAGCAAATACCACCTCTGGCTGGTCTCAGAGTGGGGTGGGAATGGAGATTTTGCAATATCCTTCCTCCAGGAGTGGGGAGGGAATGGGGATTTTGCAGTATCCTTTCCCCTGCCACGCCCACCAAGCCACGCCCACAAAGCCGGTAGGGAAAAATTTTGGATTTCACCCCTGGATAGGGTCCTTATTATCTCCTGCCAGATCCAATGATCCATGATAAGGCTATCACTCCACAAGCATCTCTCCTTATAAGCATCTATAAGTTAGTCTCCCCCACCCTCTGATCGTATTAATGCATTCCAGAAGTTAACGATGTGTGAAAAATGTACATCTTTTCCAGTGTCTCGAAATTGCCGCCTACATCAACTGCCTTCTTAAATGACTTCAGGTAAGAGATGGCCTGTTGTTGCTGTTTTAAGAAATAAAAAAAAATCCCGAAGCACAACCTTCTTTGACAAAAGAAATCAAAAGATCGCATCATTCTGAAATCCCCCAACAGTTGAGTGGTTATGCAGTTTGCCCATGTGTGAATGCCCCATGTGTTCACTTCCTTTATGGCATGAATGTCCACCCTACCAGAGGTGGGTTTCAGCAGGTTCTGACCAATTCTGGAGAACCGGTAGCGGAAATTTTGAGTAGTTCAGAAAACCGGTACATACCACCTCTGACTGGCCCTGCCCCATCTATTCTCTGCCTCCCGAGTCCCAGCTGATCGGGAGGAGCTGATCCCCTGCCACGCCCACCAAGCCACGCCCACAGAACCAGTAGTAAAAAAATTTGAATCCCACCACTGCACCCTACCCAAGAGTGTCTTCTGAATCTCAAAGTAGAATCCCAGGAGGGTTTATCTGGAAACCAATTTCCACAGGCCACCAAAGGAGGACATTGTCCAGAGTTGTGCAATTCCCAATGGAACTGCAAAAAGCGACCTCTTTTTAATAATGAATCATTATTAATTATTCAACCACTTCCAGTGATGCCATTCCCTTGTTGCATCCTTAACTGAAAAGTTCTGTTGAGAATGCAGATGTTCAAAAGTTCCATCTTCTGGTCCTCCACAAATATAACAACGTGGAGAACTTAGGAAACATGTTCAGGCTTTTCCATAGAGATAGTTGTCCTCCAAATTGTGATGAACGGTAATCCTTCCTGTCCAACACCACTAAAAGCAACTCAACCTTGGCCAACTCGCCACGGGGCCAACTTGGCATGGCCAACTCACTTGCGGGACAAGAGTTACACCACCATGAAAGAAATGGCGGACTAGAATCATTCAAGAGAGGACGAAAAAGGAGAGAGACGAAATGAAATACGAATGGCAAAAATGGAAATATTTTTTTTTAAAATTCATTTTAAATAATTAAATCGAATTGTTAGATTGTCTTGCAGTGAGTTGGCCATGGTAAGCTGGCTATGGCCAAGAGTAACAGCAGATTCAAAGGCCAAGTTGACCCTAGCGAAGCTATTCAAACTTGCTTTTCCTTTCCCCTGGTACCCTGGGCTGAGATAAATGTCACTCTTATTTATGGCATGGATGATTGCTCTCAGGAATCTGCTGGTTGTATGGTTTTAACCTGGGACTTCAGGGTCAAAGGGTTGAAAGCAGGCTCTTGACCTCCTCTTGACTTGAAGCTTATTTTTGCATTCTCAGGAGAGATGCCATTGAATAAGTCAAGCAGACAAGAGAGCCACACAGGTAGGAATGCTGATGTCTTAGATGAATAAAACCTTCTCGGATAAATCCGGGTTGAATGACAATCCATGTGGGATGTTAGATGGCCATTGCAAGCAGATTATTTGTGCCACGCACTGCTTGTCTCTGCCCAGTAACTACACAGATGCACACCCCTCCAATCTTTTAATCACGTTACGTTCAGTAAGCAAAGAACGGGCCGAAATGGTAATGAGGCATATTTACAATAATATAGAAAAGTATGATCGATTAGGCTGCCATTTCTATAGCGGAGTTAATAAAGGGAGGTGGAAAGAAGGGATCGTCCTTAGACATTCTTCTAAAATGAATGTACATCACTTATTTCCAAAGGGAACGTTAAGAGAATGAGGAGTTTTGCTATTTCCAAACACATTGTTAAATCTATTCAGTAATGCCATTGATGTAATGATGTTATGCCCCTTGGATATTCTCAATGGGGAAGCCAAATTCCCTTAACAACCCATGGCAAGAAAAGTCGTAAAACAGGACAAAACTCAACACATTTCTCACTTAGACGCATAACTTCCGGGCTCAATTGCGGTCGTACGCTGAGGATTATCCTGTATACCTCACACCTCTGCCTACTTAGGAAATCGCTGGTCCTCATAATTTTTGGTAGAAACCCCAGAAGGATGCATTCAACAAATCTTAAAAAAAAAAAAAAACTTGCCAAAACCTTAGCCATCTTTTAAAAAGATGGATAAGCCATTTTCTTCCACTTGGAGACCGGTGCTATTCTGCATTCCATCAAATTTCAGTTGAATGAAAAATAATTACTGCCAAGAAGTTATACTTATATATTGCCTACGTTCAGAGGTGGGTTTCAGCAGGTTCTGACCAGTTCTGGAGAACCGGTAGCGGAAATTTTAGTAGTTTGGAGAACCGGTAGGAAAAATTCTGACTGGCCCCGCCCCCATCTATTCTCTATCTCCCAAGTCCCAGCTGATCGGGAGGGAATGGAGATTTTACAGTATCCTTCCCCTGGAGTGGGGTGGGAATGGAGATTTTACAGTATCCTTCCCCTGCCACGCCCACCAAGCCATGCCCACCAAGCCACACCCACAGAACCGATAGTAAAAAAAATTGAAACCTACCACTGCCTACACTGATAAAACTACAATAATGGAAGAGTAATTGGCCCGCATTTACACAGTGATCTCAATAGTGTGCGACCCCCTTCCGTAAATCCTTACATGAAACCCATTTTGACCCACTCTCATCAAAATGTTTTCTCTTTTTATATTTGATTTGCTCAGGTAGTCCTTGAGTTACAACAATTCATTTAATGGCAGTTCCGAGTTACGACACCGGGAGGGGAAAAAGTGACTTAGGACCATATTTCACAGTTACGAACTTTGACCCGTGATTGCGTGAACAAAATTCTCCGGAGAGGGGCGGCATATAAATTTAATAAATAAATAAATAAATTCAAACGCTGGGCAACTGGCATGTACTTACGACGGTTGCAGTATCCCTGGAATCACATGATCCCCTTTTGGCGACCTGGCGAGCAAAGTCTACAGGGAAGTCAGATTCACTTTACCATCGGGTTGTTGACTTATTCATTTAAGAACTGTGAAAGGTCGTAAAACGGGGCAAAACGCACCTAACCAATGTCTCACTTAACAACAGAACTTTGGGACTCAATTGCGGTCGTAACTCAAGGACTACCTGTATTCCTTACCACCATGACACAAGCAGGTGGATGAGACATTGCACAAAAATCATTTTGGTTTTCGGTGTTTGGGGTTGTTTGGTATTTTTGTGTGTATGATCGCCTACACAAATGTGTTTTTTGACTTCACCCAACGAGCAGTTATACAATATTAGAGCACTCCCTTTAAAAGATCCCTTGGGGGTCATTTTAATGTCCGCTCTAATGGATTCGATTGCTTTCTACTGAATCCCCTTTTCTTGGTGACAGTCCCTCCTTCGTTCTCTTCTGCTGTGGTCTTCTAACTGGGTGGATTTGTCTCTTGGGCGTTTGAAGGAAGGGAAATCGCCCCAGAAATCCTAGAATTAGCTTTATTCAACCAGGAGTAGCTACCCAGGGAGACCAGATTAGGGGGAGACCTCTGAGGTTGGGGTGGTGGGGAAAGATTTGGTTCCTGAGGGCATCACCCAACCTTGACTTGTGGCTTACAAGGCACCAGGGAGTTCTGACTAAACGCTCAGTTTGTTGATTCTCGTTCCCTTCCTTGACTCTTCCACCAGGTCACCTCCAGGTTTTCAGTTTTGGCTGCCCACCCCCTCCCCAAATTTTAAGCTGCAAAATGGGGGGGGAAATCAAACCATTTGCTGAACTGCCCCGTCAGATCTCATCCTCGGTGAATGCTCCCGTTGGAGCATCTGTCTGAGCGGTTCGCTTCAAAAGATTCCTTATTTCGTATTCTTATTTTGTCCTCCTCAAGTCACTTTTCTCTCCCTTCCCTTCCCCTGTTTCTTGTTTCCACACATCCGGCTGTATCCTCCTGTGTATTTATATATTCTGTATTTATGTTAGCAAAATGGTAGTATTTTGTAGCTGTTCCGGTTTGTTTAACTTGTAAAAAGAAAAAAAAAATTACCGATGACGATGATAGAGATCATTCTTAATAGCTCGTTCTGATGCTCCCTGGCCTTTTTTGATTCGTTGGGTTTTTTTGCCATCGGCCCCTTGGTTCTGCCTTTTTAATTTAATGACTTGCCATTTCTTAAATTATTTATTAGTTGTGTTGTGGGGGGGGGGTTGTTCTTTTCATGTCCACGTGGCCACAGCTGACGGTTGGATCCGTTTTGATTTCTTCTCGCCCTGCCGTCCATGGACGGGTCAAGCGATGTGATTCTCAAACTTCACATATTTGTTTTTTCCTTATGTGGGAGTGTATGGGCGCGCGCACGGGACTGAATGAGTGGAAGGTTATACTTCAGTATATTTGTAAATAAAAGCAACCTGTAAATGAAATGAATTATTATTATTATTATTATTATTATTATTATTATTATTATTCATCACAAAATCAGCCAGATGTTCAAACTGGGTTTGGCATTTTTGTCTACCTATCAAGTACCAAAGGTCTCGTTGCAGGATGTAAGGTACTCTTGAATCAAGCTGCCTTTTGCAATTGACCGAGGATGAATTTGTCAATGCCAAGGGCAGTGTTTTTCAACCCTTTCTTCACTATGGATCTCCTTTAAATATCATTGATGGCAAAGGAACCCCAAGACTTAACTCAAGATTGAGTCCTTACCAAGGACGTGAGATAGGCAAATCTGGATGTTTGACAGTGATCGTCGCAGGATGGAAGCTGTTCCAAGTAAAGCCACTTTCTGCAATTGACTAGTGGCAAATTTGTCAATGCCGACAACGTTCAAGTGGTTCTCCAGTTGTTTTGGGATTGCTCCCAAGGCAACAGTGCCTATTGGTACTACCGTAGCTTGTCTTTGGCACAGTCATTCTATTTCTATTTGTAGGTCTTTGTATTTTTTTTATTTTCTCCAGTTCTTTCTCTTCTATTCAGCTGTTCCCAGGCACTGCCACATCCACTATCTATTATTATTTATTTATTTATTTATTTATTATATTTCTATACCGCCTTTCTCCCGTAGGACTCAAGGCGGTGTACAGTCAAGAAAAATATAGACACACAAACATCATAAAATTGCTAATTAAAATTATTACTTAGTTTGGTCAATTAAATAAAACCCAGAATTAGATAACATTTAAAAAATCATTCACATGTTTGTATGTTTAGCCCTGCCTGTTGGAACATCAGGGTCTTGAGGGCACGGCGGAAAGCATCTCTTTTATTCATTAAACATGAAACTCAGTCAACTGAACATTTAAAAATGTGCCACAAATACCATTAACAGGTGCTAATGGTTGATACGGATTGCTGCCAGCGTCCTCGGGATCGACCAAGTATCTTCTTAAAATATATGATGTTCCGAATAGAGCAGTTTTTTGCAGTTCCACTGGTGTTATTGCAGGAAGCTACAATTTCTTGATGTGTTTTGTAAAATTCTTGGACATGGAACCAAGTGCCCCAATGATTATTATTATCATCATTATCATTTTCATCATCACACAGTCGGCCAGATATTCAGACTGTGTTTGGCATTTTTGTCTACCTATCAAGTATCAAAGATCTCGTTGCAGGATGTAAGGTATTCTGAGTCAAGCTGCCTTTTGCAATTGACCGAGGATGAATTTGTCAATGCCTAGGGCAGTGTTTCTCAACACCCTTTCTTCACTATGGATCCCCTTTAAATATCATTGGTGGCAAAGGAACCCCAAAACTTAACTCAAGATTTAAATCTTAACATTTCTATAAGCCCTCACGGACCCTCTGTGATGACAATGCCCACTCCCCAAGGTTTCTGCAGCCTTCGCCCAAAGTGAAGCAGACCCCAAGTCGGAATTTCTACCCCCCTCCGACCCACACAAAAAGACCCCAAAGGGGGAGACTCTCTACAGCAACCCAAACATTCATTGCACGTATCCGGCCCAGGGGCCGTAGTTTGAGGACCCCTGATTTAGTGCAATATAAAAAATGCAAATAATTTTTCTGCGGACCACCAAAATTTTCTCACAGACCACGAGTGGTCCATGGATCACCAGTTGGTGACCGGTGGACTAGAAAACCAAAATACTTTTCTCAGGCGCTTAGGTGGTTAATTTCCCAGCCGGGAATAGCTTTGCTAAGCACAGCAACAAATCAGGTGGATTTTGTTCAGGTCAGGAGATACCACTAATGATAGAGACAAAAGAACTTGTCATCCTGACCGCCAAGACATTAAACCAAGCCCAAGGATGATTAATCAGGAGCATCTTGTACCTTATTTCACATTGCTCTCTCCCGGCTTCTGTTTCTGGTGTCACCAAGTTGCAAATCAAGACTGATTTACACCTTACAGCTGTACTAAACAGAAGGCAAATGAACATAAAATGCAGAAAGGGAAAAAAATACAACGGCAATTGGAGGGGGGGGGGAAGAATTCCTGAAAGGACCTGAAGCATTATTATTTCTCCATCCTACACACATACAAACACACATCTCCGAACAGCTCTAAATCAGATTGTCAGTGAGGATGGGTAGTTTAATCATTCAGATTTCTTCATCAGTCTAGGGCGTAAATCTAAATTCCAAGGATATTTGCCAACTCTTTGGTTTCTAGGACAATTAATCAGTGGAACGGCTTGCCTTCAGAAGTTGTAGGTGCTCCATCACTGGAAAGTTTTCAAAAATAGACATTTGGCCAGAATGGGATGGGGTCTCCTGCTTAAGCAGAGGGCTGGGCTAGGAGACCTCCAATTCTTGTTATTCTGTTATGTTATATTACACTTCAGCGGTTCGAATCCCTAGTGCTGCGTAATGGGGTGAGCTCCCGTTCCTTGTCCCAGCTTCTGCCAACCTAGCAGTTCAAAATCACGTAAAAAATATATGTAAGTAGAAAAACAGGGACCACCTTTGGTGGGAAGGTAACAGCGTTCCGTGCGCCTTTGGCATTGAGTCATGCCAGCCACATGACCACGGAGACGTCTTCGGACAGCGCTGGCTCTTCAGCTTTGAAACGGAGATGAGCACTGCCCCCAAGGGTCGGGAACGACTAGCACATATGTGCGAGGGGAACCTTTACCTTTGGCATAAAGTGCAGGGGAAACTTTCACGCCCGATGCTAAAAGGAGAAGCTGCTTGGACCAAGCGCACGGTTTCCGGTGGCGTGCCAAAAATTTCATTTTCCACCCTCTCATCTCGTTTCTCCTCCGTTGCGGGCAGCCTTGCCAGGGTAAGAAACCTGCCAGCAGCTGCAAGCGCACTGTTGCTACATGCTCCCACCAGTGCATCAGCCCTTGACCTGGTTTTCATCCTGCTCCGGGGCAGAGGCACACCTGGGCCACGATCTTGTCCAAAAGGGTTGTTTTCCATAGCAAGAGATTCCCAGCTTTGGATAATTACCACCAGGAGTGCGAGAACCTGAGCATCAAAAGCATTCTCTTTTCGCATCCACCCTCTGCGCTGTCTTCCTCCCCCAACCCCCCAACCCCCACTCTCCCATTCCTGCAAAAGATGCGCCTGAACATGCCGGATAATGATTATTCTTCACACACACACACACACACACATACTGCGGACCAGCCAAAATCTGGTTGCCTCTCCACGCCACATCTACTATGGCGAGGCCAAAGGAAGTGTCCAGGTTGTCACTCCGGAATGAGCTATGGCTGATCTGATTAGCCCTTTGAAAAAAGCCACATTGTGCACATTTCTTCTCACCTGCCCTGAGCGATCTCTATCTGCAAAGGCAGCGATCAAGGCCTCGCAGACCGCAGGTCATGAATCATTCCCTCCCCGACGATGCGCCAGGCGTTCAGCAACAGCAGGGAATGAGGCACACCCACAGTTACCCTGCCCGCGGACCCCTCCCCAGCTTCAATCAAGATATGACACTGTAATCGTATAAAACCAGCCTAATAGTCATGGAAAAATCGGCGGAGGCGGAGATCTCTGAAGATGGCTGGCTGATGGCTGAATCGCAAAGGCTGGGTTTCTGGCATGAGATCTCCGTTTTACTTATTGGTTAGGTTATAGGTTATATTGAGGGGTGGCGGTGGCCCAGTGGCTAAGACGCTGAGCTTGTCGATCAGAAAGGTTGGCAGTACGGCGGTTCAAATCCCTAGTACAGGTCTTCGTTGTGAGCAGGGGGTTGGGCTTGATGACCTCCAAGGTCCCTTCCAACCTTGTTACTGTTAAAAAAAAAAGCTTGTCGATTGAAAGATCAGCAGTTCAGTGGTTTGAATCCCTAGCACCGCATAACAGGGTGAGCTCCCGTGACTTGTCCCAGCTTCTGCCAACCTAGCAGTTCGAAAGCAGGTTAAAAAATGCAAGTAGAAAAAATAGGGACCACCTTTGGTGGGAAGGGAACAGCAGTTCCGTGCACCTTTGGCGTTGAGTCATGCCGGCCACATGATCACGGAGACGTCTTCGGACAGCGCTAGTTCTTCGGCTTTGAAATGGAGATGAGCATCGCCCCCTAGAGTCAGGAATGACTAGCACGTATGTGCGAGGGGAACCTTTACCTTTACCTTTAAGTTTTACTGCAGGATTTCCACATTGTCCAAGCCAAAAAGACTCTGGGTGGCTTCCATTAAATAGTAAAAGGCCAAGGTTTCCTCTGTCCAGTTGTGTCCGAGTCTAGGCTGGCAGTGCTCATCTCCATTTCCCAAGCCAAGGGAGCCAGCATTGTCCAAAGATGTTTCCATGGTCCTGTGGCTGGCATGACTATACACCAAAGTGCAAAGAACATTGTTGCCTTCCCACCAAAGAAAACAACTGAGCTTGGAAAGCACCAACAACCCCATAGTCCTCCTCCGCCTCCTTCAAACCCCACTCTCTCCTAGCACTGATGATGTTACCTAGTTTGGTAATGAAACATCTGCAAGAAAATAAATGCTTTTTTCAATAAATAAATAAATCAGTAAAATAAATGCTTTTAAAAAAAAAGTTGGCCACACCCACCCAGCCACATTACCCTCCCCCCCACCAAGCCATGCCCACAGAACCTGTAGTAACACATTTTACATTTCACCACCGCCTTGTAGCCAAAGGAATTCTGGGAATTGCAGTCCCAGCCCCACTGAAGAGCGCTAGCTATTCCAAAGCCAAGCCGTAGAAAATGATACCTTTAGACCGATTTTCTCATAATGGAGTCGTTGCTACTGTTCTTGGACGACCCACCTCTTAATTTTCATCTGTTTGCTTAGGAATTATTTTGCTCAATTACCGGGGACAATTAGTTTGGCAAGGTTTCTTCCCTTCCCCCACCTCTCCTCGAAAAAGCAACTGAGACGGAAAAAAACCTATAATTGGCTGCATAGACTAATGACTACTCTTTCACTAATTACAGAAAGGGTGGAATCCAGTTGGCTCTCACCTGTTCTAACTTCCCATCCTTGAGATCATC